CGCTTACACTGGCTAGGAAGTGAACTTCTGTCACTTGCTTTTCCAGCCAACATTCATGCCTGGCTTTAGTTTCAGGGCTATTTTCACAAAGAAAGAAACTGTTTTGTTGTTGCTATTGCTTTTAATCTCTTGGGGAGAGTTACAAAGAACAACAGAGGCACCCCGGTGGATCCCGACCAGTGTCATCCCCTTGTTCTCAGTACCTGGCTTGTGCCATTCAAACATTACTTCAGTGAGTGACAAACTACCCCCTCTTCTGGATTTTCAAGATGGCCTTTGTGCAGCTGGAGTTGCTGTGATGAAGGCCAAGGGGCTACTGCATGAGGTTTCCTCCACACGCTGTCTCTCACACCACATCAGCCAAGCCTGTGCTCCACCAAGGGGCAGGAGCAGCCCGTGCACTGTGCTGCCCAGGCCCGGCTCACAGGCAGGCCCAACCCTAGGACCCTGAGCATCCTTGGGGCTTGTGAGAACTCCCTGGGGGAAAGTTCTAGCCATGTGGTTTGGGAAGCAGAGCTAGGCGAGCATGAAATGCTGCATGAAATTTACTGTAAGCAATTCGAGATCTTAGAAAAGAAAATAAACGGCTTGAAATCAAGTAGGAAAAAATAAAACCTTCACAAGGCTTTGCACACAGCCTGGGGAAAACAAACCTCAAAGGCCTGTTTCTTGATGGTCTTGGGGCCTCTGAGGGTGAAGTAGCCAAGCAGTGATCAGCTGCACCCAGCTGGGTTTTCATCTGCCCATGGTGTCCTCACCCTGCCTCTGCTCTGGGTAGGAAGAGCCAACAGACAGAAGGCATTGACTTAGGAGTGAGGGCAGCCTCTGGGCTGCAGGAGAAAGCCCTCCAATGCCCAGGCATGAGTCAGAGGGCCCTTGCCAGGAGGGACCACCATGCCCTATCACATGTCACCATCACACCCACGTACACAAGTTGTCCTTTGCACGATCTCAAATGAACCACCAACACCCACATCATCTTGCACCCAGACACACAGTCTCACCCATCTCTTCCATCCACACACATGCCACTGCGATACCACCACAAATGCACATGTACACACTCTGTGCTTGTGAAGAACTGGCGTGGGTTTTCCCAGCCCACGACTCCGCTTCTCCCCAGCTGAACATTTGATCTTAGAGACTGTTATATCTTCAGGCTACCAGGACATGTTTTCAACTGCCCAAAGTAGTAACAGATCACCCTGAAACGGCATCAAAGGATTCTTTGGCAAAGCTGAATCTGAACCCCAGAGCAGGAAGGCCCTTGGCGATCGTCTGGTGCTGAGGTTTTTAAGCTGTGTTTGCAGGGCTGGGGCTGCTCCAAAGAGGGGTCTCAGGGGCCATGGCTGGGGAGCAGGTGCCAGATTGGGAGGCAGGGGAGGGGCAGCAGGGGTCTCCCCTTCCCACCTCTGCTGCTCTAGTCAAAGTCGGTCTGCTACATCTGCTTTATTTTACACAGTGAACTTTGGAATAAAGTTTCTATAGGAAAAAAAAATCAGATTTCATTTCCTACAAAAAGAATTTAAAAAGCACTAGCCCAAGCTCCTTTGTTAGATAAAGAATCTACGGCACAGGTTGGGTCAGCCACACCGCTTATGGGCAGCTGAGCTGAGTTGGGGACCCAGGTCTCCTGATGCTATGTTGTGGCCAATAAGTACATGCTTTCCTGAGACTTGCCACCCCAATAGGCTTCCCTGGACAGGCCTAATGGCTCTTGAGCTGGGTGACACTTGCAGCTGCATGTCCTGATGTCCAAAGCAGGCAGGAGGTGAGTTTCCCAGTCCCAGGGCTGTTATCACTGCCCAGTAAATCACAGCAAACCTTCAGCTGAGCCTGGCATCCCTCCAGAGAGCAGAAGTCAGAGGTGCTGGGGTGAGGGGAGCACCACCGAGTGCAGTGTGACTGACACGTGAGGGGACTGTGCAGTTCCAGGGGCTCCCCTTCAGAAGGCAAGAGGACACCTTCTTCACGGGAGTCCTCACAACTGCCAGGAATGCTGACATGTTATTTGAAATAATTTCACAGGATCTGGGCAGCACCACGACTGCCCGGGCTGTTCCTGTCCTGTCATTCCTGTCTTTTCTCCTTAGGGGAAGAGGAATCAGCTCTACTCAGATATCCCTAACTCCACAGTCCCGTGGGACAGTGGCAATCAGGAGGGAGTGTGCCTTTGGAGGGGCCGCCAGAGGCCTGCCCTGTGCCTCACTTGAAGCCCTCAGTCTAACCAAGTTTTCTCAGACTTGATCCAATTAGAGAATTGGGTGTCTAATCGAGTATCCCTCTGAACTACACACTCCCCTGGTGGGGTAGTGGGTAGAGCCCATCCAGCAGCGGCACCGCATGCTCACTCAGGGAGCTCACTGGCTGTCAGAAAGCATCTGCCAAGAGTGAGGTCACCGCAGAAGCCCCATTGGGAATTCGGGGACATCCTTGTGGTTGTGTCTACTGAGGTGGCAACATGGTCTCCACCACTGGGCACCAAGCCAGGACTGAGAGCAAGAAAAGGCAGGAAGGGGCACAGAGGCATCTGAGTATGGCTAGAATGGGCTTGGACTAGCAGCAGCCATTATTCAAGGCTCGCACCCACCAGGAGTGGTGCTAAGCACAGCTGCATCTTATGAGTTGGGAATTACCACTCCCATTTTACAGAGGCAAAAACTCCCACTTAGGAATAGAGTCAGGCCTAAAACCAAGTCCGTCTTATTCACAAGTTCAAGTTTTTAAACAGCAAAGCAAGAGAGAGCTCCACCCAGGCCAGAGAGCCTGAGTGGAGCCTAGGGATTACGTGCTATATAACCTTGGGGCAAACTATTCACTTCCCCAAGCCTTGATTCCTCATCGGAAGAGCAGGGATGGCAATAGTGATTATAACAGCGCCCACCTAGTAGGGTTGCGGTGGAGACTCAAGAGTTCCATGTGTGAGATGTTAAGGCGAAGGCTTGGGCACACAGGAAGCATCACAAATGCTGGTTGCTATCATTCCTACAGCCTATGAGAATTTCCTCTCCATTATCTTCTTAGGAGAGGGGAAGGGGAGACCACAGGGTTAGGACAAAGCCTGATTCAGGCCCTGCCAGCCCGTCTCCAACACCACACGGGTCTCTATTTGGGTCCCCTGGGAAGTAGAGGCCAGGCTGTTCCAAGCTGCCCCAGGGGTCCTCAAGACCATCTGCCAACAGGACCCAGCGAAGGGCCTCAGGTGCTCTAGGAGGACAGCTGGACTGTGTGTGTGTGTCTGTGTATATATATATGTGTCCATGTATGTGCATCTGTGTATGTGGCCATGTATATCTGTATGTCTATGTGTGTCTGTGTGTATCCACATATGTGTGTGTGTGTGTGTGTGTATGTGTTGGCAGGGCTGTGACTTCAGGCCCATCAGCGTGAGGCTGTGCAGATCTGGAGGGGCAGCCTTCCCCACACCAGCACCCCACAGGTACAGGCTTGGCTGGCTAGGGAGGGGAGGGGGCAGAAGCAGCCCTAGTCCTCTAGCTCTGTACAATGTGAAGAGCGGCCTAGACGTGGAGCCCTAAAGCCCCTCCCTTTCAAGTGAGAGGGCTACCCACAAGAGCATGTGTGTAACAGGGTGCCCTGCTCCCAGGCTGATCTAGTGACCACTGGAGCAGACATACTTGAGCAGAGTCCTAGGCCCCCAGAGCCATAGGGTCTCCTGTACAGATAAGAAAGCTGAGGCAGGCATCACCACTCCTGGCTCTCCTGAGAGCACAGCTTCCCCTCAGTGAGACCCGGAGAACCCCACCTAGCCCTGTCAGTCTCGGGATTAGCAAACACAGGCCTGGGAGAAGGCAGTGCAGCTTATGGTCTTCATGCACGTGAGTCCATGCCAGGAATGAAACATATCATTATGGCAGGATTAGAAGAAAAATGCCATTAGAAAGCACTGTGTACACGCACACATTTAATAAGGTCAGTAGCAGCAAGCAGTAGGCAGGCCAGCGCATGAGGCGGCAGATCCCCCGCTGTCCTCCTCCCACCCACAGCACAGGCCCCTGGAAACAGGGATGGGGCCGGCCGGGGTTGGAGGTTAAGCACCTCCTTCTGCTGTGGCCTCCCCAGCCTGGGCACCACAAAGCTACTCATTCTGCCTCCCTTTTTCAGGGGCCACCCACTGAAAGGTGTTTCTAAATCTTCCCCACCAAGAACCTTCCAAAATAAGAAGCACTCCTCCTCCCCTCCCCCATGTCCTCAGGGCTCTATCCTCTGCTTGGAAGTGAATGGGACAATCATTTGTACTTTCCACAACTATTCATGCCTTATTCATCTGTTATGCTCCCTGGTGACATAATGCCCAGGTGACAGATATAGACAAGAGGCCTAGAAAGCTCCCAGAAAATGAGCTTTATGGAGGAACTCCAGCTCTAGGGCAGCCTAGGGGGCCATATTTGACCTGCATGTGCAGAGTCAAAGCCAGGACCCTGCCCACAGGGGTGCAGCAGAGGAGATGAGGACAAGCAGCCTTGCCACTTCTCCTGCCTGCAAGGCCTCCCGGGCACCTGCCCATTCACCTCTCCAGAGCTGGCCCTGGATGCCAACCTCATCCTTGCAGCTGCAGGACTACCGTCCTCTACAGCAAGTCCTCCCCGCCCCGAGCCCTTGGTCATCACCTGGGTCTCAGCCTCAATTGTCAGTCCTCTACACATGCACCAGGGGAGTCCCCAGGAATGCCCAGGCTGGGGAGTACGGACGTATTGAAGTCCTGTGCAAGCTCTTTGAGGGTTCCTCTCAGGTTGTCCCCTGCACACATAGAGAGATCACAGGGAAGGTAGCCCTGGACAGGCATATACATAGAATGCCACTGCTCTCTCTCCTCCACCAGCCAACTTTCCTTTGCTCTACTCTGACGCTTCATTCATCCTGTCCACAACATTCACTGAGCACCTGCTACATGCCAAGCACTGCCCTGGGCTCTGGGGAGGTCGCAGTGAACAAGACAGACCAGCCTGGCCCTGGGGAAGTTGAGGGAGGAAGATACTCACAGCTCCACGGACCTGGACAGGATGGCAGACAGAGTGAGCAGGATGCATCCGTAGGGGCCCACTTCGAACTGGCAAGGGGAGAGAGGAATGAGCTCCATCCAGTCTGCACCTCCCTCCTCTCAGCCCCTACACCGCTGTGGAGGCGGCACCCCAGGTAGCAGCCTGCCCTGAGCCTCTGCCTCCAGCCCGGCCTGGAAGGCTGCCAGGTGGCCTCAGGGCAGACCCCCTAAAGGATGGGAGGTGTGCCAGCCTGACTGATGACAGGGCAGAATGCTGGTGATGCAGGGGTCACCACAGAACACATCACCACTTGAGTCCTTGAAGCTCAAGCGACGGCAGTGGTCGTGGCAGGCCCCATATGTGCAGATGTGTCCTGGGCATTATCACATTGAATACTCTACCAGACCTGGGGGAAGTGCTGTTATTCCTGCCCTCCACTCTGTAAGGGATTGAGGCTCAGACACTGAGTGGCCTGCCAGAGGTCACAGCTTGTAGGTGGCACAGTGGGGTTCCAGGGGGCTCCATGTAGTTCCTGATCCCTTACTCTGAAGAACCATGCTATGCTGAGAGCAGCAGAGAGCCGGTTTGGAGCAGAGTTGAGATCTGAGTGAGACAAGGCAAGCGGGCCGTGCAAGTGCAAATCTTTTTTTAAAGTTTTGATATTTTTTTCATCATGGATTTTTTAATTTTTTAAAATGTCATTTATTATTTGAGTTTTATGGCACCTCCTTAAATACTGCACCCAAAGTGAGCACCTTATTCTTCTCCCCCTGGTCCCAACCCTGGTCTGGAGCCCAGGTCCTGGGTGGGGCATGGCTGCCTGGTTTTAAATCCTGGCTCTCCTACTCCTAGCTATGTGAACATGGGGACGCTCTTTAACTCCTCTGTCTTCAGTCTTCTCATCTATAAAACATGGATAATAATCATAGTACCTACCCTCATCAGGCTGTGAAGATTACATGAGTTAATCCTTGTAAAGCACTTAGAACAGGGCCTGTCACCTGTGTTAGCTGGTGTGTGTATGATGCTGGTTAGTATGATGCTGGTTCTGTACTCCCCACCTGTCCAGTGAGCCCAACAGGCCACAGCCCACTGGGATAAACCATTTTTGCTCCCTGGAAAACCATCCTTCAACTGCAAGTCAGTATGAAGGCCTTACCATCTGCCATCCCATTGTGGGTACAATAAACTGTGGTTGAAGATGCTGCCTATTACAATAGTCAGTGTTCCTTGTGTGTAATTAGCTTCTTTTTTGAACTTAAAATCAGAAAAAAAAGCTTATTTCTCCTGAGAATTTTATAACTTACCATATTTCCATTTTTGCCTTGGCTGCCAGAAAGCTCAGAGCCAAATATGGTGTTCTAGAGTGTGTTAACTATTGCAGCTCAAGCTCTTGATAAAAAAATTATTCTTTCTTTTTCTCAAAATATAATCTTTATTTTTATCCAGTAATTCAATTAGTCATTAACAAAAAATTACTGAGTGAAATTTCTATACCAAGAGGATGTTCCCTGCTAAAGCTGTACTTGTAAACAAGGTAGAAATGTATCCATCCTCTTGGGGAAGTAACTCAAGGGAAGAAAAAATAAGCGACTTGTAAAGGGTGGGGAAGGGGCTCTGCCATGATAGAAATGCAGGCTCCACTGGAAACACGCAGGAAAGGCCTTCAACACAGACTTAGAGCTTAGGGAGGGAGAGAGTGCCAAGGAAGACTTTCTGGAGAAAATCATGTCTAACAGAAACCCAAGGGACAAGCAGAAATCAGAAGAGAAGAGAACACTGCTCCAGGCAAGAAGAGAAGCACATGCAAAGGCCCAGAGGCAAGAGAGTGCAAGCTGACTATGCAGCAGCAGAGAAGAGCCCTGATGATGTCTTTTTTTTTTTTTTAACAAGCAACTTCAAGTCCCTTTTGTGGAAGTAGAAATGGAATGAATCAATCAACAATAATCTTAAATCAAGCTCATCTTAATCCTGCAATTTCAGGCTAGTCACTTCACTTCTGTTGCCCTCAGCTTCACCATTTGCAAAACAAGGACCTTGAGGACCCATCTGGCAAATTTCCTTGGCTGGCATACAGTATACATTCTATGAGACAGTGTCTGTAGAAGTGCTCTGACAATTGTAAATGTTGATGTCCTCACACAGGGGGCACAAGCCTGTGAGGACTTGGGCCACCGGCCCCTTATCACAGCTCTGCTACAGAATTGCATGTTGCCTTATCTTCCCTTCCGTAAAAAGCCTACGTACTCTGCCATGACTTTCATTTCCCCTGGGGGACGTCACAAAGAGTTTTTAGTCTCAGTTTTCTCCTCTGGAATGCCTACGTACTTCTGCCATGGACTTACACATTGTCTTGGGGAAGCATGGTACTTTCTTGGTCTGTGGTCTGTTTCCTCTTCTGCCATGCTTATAATGCCCGCCTACTTATCAGACTGCAATTACATAATGGACACAGAAGCCTATGGCAAGCCCCAGCTCTCTCTATAAATTTATTATTACTCTTTGTGCCAGAATTTCCCCTAGTCACCCTCAAGAAGACCTCACCCTGAGCCCTGGACATGCCCTTCTGCAGAGGGTAGAAAGCGAACTCTGCTTGGAGCTTCTTGCTCTAGCCAGAACACAACTGAATTGTACCAATATTCCATTTTGTTTGTTAAAACTTTTATTAAAATTATCTCATCAAATTCAAGCTGCCAAGACACTGAGACCACAGGGCAATGTGCCTGCAATGAAAGGCGAGCTCAGACAAGGCAACTGGGCCGGAAACCACTGTTAGGGTCCGGAAAAATGTCTGGTGCCACTTAGGAGGAAGAGGCCATTCTTCCAGTGCTGCTCTGAGGCTCTGAGAGAACTGAGCCCACCAAGGGACTCCAATGGCAGGCAGAGGCATCCCTAAGCTGGCCAGGGGCCTGCCAGACACCTCACCCAGAGCGTGAGCGGTAATGAAAACACGGTGAGGAGGCTATTTATTTTGGGCAGAGATGGCTCAGTATGCATTTCCAGGCCTGGCACGAGGAATCCCTCTTAAGCCCAGGCCATGAAAAATGAATTTGGTGAGGGCAGTGCTGAGGCAGCTCAACTGATTCCAGCAAAAACAAATTAAACTGCAGGGGGAAAACACTGCCTTCCAGAGTGAGGAAGGCCAAATGTTGACCCTCTGTACCAAGAACCAAAGCTGGGCGAGGAGGGGGACTGCTTTGAGTCCATAGGCCTTACTGAAAAAAGGCAGTCCCCTTGCCCTGGAGCAGACCTCACTCTCTGAACCCCTTTCATAGTCACTGTCTTGCTTAGGCTTCATTGAAACCCTGAGGTACAGGCCAAGCAGCAGGCCCCACCTTACAGACAAGCTTACAGAGGCCCTGGTGCTGAGGGGCCACCTGGGGCCATCAGTTGGCAGAGACAAGCCTCAGAACTTTGGGTCACTTGAGCAAGTACCCTCAGGCCCCTCGTTGGGCTCCTAGCAGACTCACCAGTTATTTCCCTTTCCTGGACGTGGTGGCTTCATGCTCTGCTCACCTGTGTGGTACAGGTGTCCTCAGTCCTGGCCACCTTGCTCAAATGCTGCACACTGACGCCATTAGGCTCTGCTTGTCTCTCACATGTACTGCCATATTCTCACACGTTCTGAATTTACTAGTAGGTCTCCTTTCTGCTGATTCAGATTGCTGGTACTTGATTTAGAAAACATGCTTCTCCATATGTTTACGGTTCTTTGAGAACCATGGTTAGAGAGTGAAGAGCTGGAAGTTATCTGATAACTGCTATAAATTCCATTTTCTGGATGAGAAAACTGAAGTCCAGTGACTTTCCCAAGGGCACATGTGAATAAGGAATAAGCCAGAGGAGGTCCCCAGGCCCCTGTTCCAGGCCTTCTGGCCACCCTTGGCCAAGCAGTGAACACATAGCATCAACAGACAGCCAGCTGGATTATTCTGAGGAAGAACCAGACAGAGGTACGGACAGGGAGCAAGCAACAGCCAGTCCAGGGCTATCCTCCCACTGACCTCCTCCGCAGTCTGGACAGAGCAACCCATGCGGAAAGGGAATCATCCTAATCTGTGTCTGTGTGCCTAGCCGTGGGGCACTCCATGGGCTGAGTCTTCATGAGAGGTAACAGCCCTGAGATGAAAGGACTTCATGGGGATTGGCACCTCCAGTGACCTAACACCTGCCTCCCTTATTCTCAGAGCAGGCCCTGTTTCCTATCCAAGGGACATCTGGTGTTGTCAGGACCTGGGCACTTCCTAGGGCTGTGCCAGGTCCTCAGGGTCTTTGGCAAAAAGTGCTGCAGGAGGGTATTCTATTGGCAGGAGCTTTAGGCCTGGTCCCACATCCTGCAAGTTCTCCTACCCTCTCAGTTGACCACCAAATCCTCCAGTGCCTTCCCTGGGGCCTAAAAGAGCAGATCCCACACCCAGAAGCCTGAAGGAAAGGCCAAGGGGAGGCCCAGAGGTTTGCTCACACCCCAGGAGAGAAAGCAGATGCTCTTTCTTTGCTTTAATCCTGACACACAGACATCAGAATCGTGAGGCCTTGCAGTTGGGGATCTCAGAGATCACATCATGGGCCTCCTGGCCTTGGCTCACTCTGCGCAACCCCCTGCTATGAGTCTTCCCCCCATTTCCACATGTCTACCACTAACCCATCTCAAGGCTGCCCTTAAACCACCATGACAGTGGCAAGCGTAACACCCACAGCAGGAGCTAGCAATCCCTCACAAGGCCAAGCAAGCACACCTATTGCAGGAATTCTGCACAGTGCTCTGAGGGAGGCACCAGTATTGTTATCCACATTTCACAGATGAGGAAACTGAGGTACAGAGCTACTAAGTAAGTTGCCCAAGGTCACAGAGCTACTAAAGGGTGAACCTAGATCCCAGGCCAGGCTGACTGGCTCTAGACCATGTTCTGTACCTCTGGGATGTGCAATCCCTTCTCTACAAAGCCTGTGATACCACAGCCCTACCCTGAACACCTGAGCCCTTTGACTCTGACGCTGTCTGGCCCTGGCCTACAGCCAGGAGTGGACATACAGCTCTCCTCCAGCAGATTGGTGGCTCCGGGTCCCAGCCTAGACCAGCCCTGCCTCCCTACGGACACCAAGCAGGGTTGGATCTCCATCAACACTGCTAAGCCCTCTAACCCAGCTTGAGAAGCCACTTTCTCCTCACCGCCCCCCTACCACCACCACCACCAGGCCTAGGACCCACTCTGCTGACTAGGAGTTCATGATTTCCAGAGGCAGCTGCTTCCGCTGGGACAGAGAGCTCTCGTGACCACTGTCTACAAGCTGCTTCCCCTTCATTCCAACCCCACCCAATGCAGCTCTGCTTTTTGCAGCTCTAGCTATGGCTCTCCCTGAGCTTGTCTCCATGGCCAGCCCTCAAGGATGCAATGGCAGAAACTGGACTCCTTGCCACCAAGTCCATTCTTCTCTAGCCAAAATCACCCTCGTGTCCTCAGCCCACCGCCTGGGGGCCAGTATCAGCCCTTTCCCAGCCTCTCTGCCTCCTCCTGGGGGAAGGGGAAATGCCAATTCCAGTGCACTAGCTTCTCTTCCACAATGCAATGAGAAGGCTAGTAAAGCATGGCCTATAAAAATAAACTATTGTTCATACCTGATGAATGCTGTGTTGAAGAAAAGTCACCAGCTCCTCATAACAGGTCAAACTGTGGAGTGTGAGCTGAGAAGAAACAAGCACACAGTATGAGCTGCCCAAGCCCCCATGGATGGAGCCCCTCCTGGATTAGCTCATGCTGCCCTGGCTTCAGTCACTACAAAACCCAACTTGCAGCACTCTGGGAGGCCGAGGCAGGCGGATTGCTCGAGGTCAGGAGTTCGAAACCAGCCTGAGCAAGAGTGAGACCCCGTTCTCTACTATAAGTAGAAAGAAATTAATTGGCCAACTAATATATATAGAAAAAATTAGCCAGGCATGGTGGCGCATGCCTATAGTCCCAGCTACTCGGGAGGCTGAGGCGGGAGGATTGCTTGAGCCCAGGAGTTTGAGGTTGCTGTGAGCTAGCTAGGCTGATGCCATGGCACTCACTCTAGCCTGGGCAACAAAGCGAGACTCTGTCTCAAAAAAAAAAAAAAAAAAAGAGTTTGAGGTTGCTGTGAGCTAGCTAGGCTGATGCCATGGCTAGCCTGGGCAACAGAGTGAGACTCTGTCTCAAAAAAAAAAAAAAAAATCCCACTTGGGAATGTCCCTGCATCAGACAGCAGCATCCTCCAGGGCATGGCTGAGCAGCACACTCACACCTGTGTGCAGCTGAAAGGCTGGCCCAGCACAGCTGGGGTCTCTAGGGTAGTCTGCCCTACAGCAGCCCTGGGACTCCTTTGAGAGTCCTCAGGATTCTAGACACCATGGGACTAAAGCAAAGGATCCAGCATCAGGCATTGCCCCAACAGGGGAGGGCTGCTCCCCCATGGGAGAGCCATTGACATCTGAGAAGAGGCTGGGGGTCGGGGCATGTAGGGTGGGTGTCACATCCAAATCACAACAGCCAAGCCAGGTCAAAGCCCAACAGGCCATATCCTGAGCCCAATGGGAAGCAGCAGCTATGAGTCTCCTTTGCTTTCTCAGGCAGGCCAGGAAAAAACACTTTTAGAAAAACATTCAACGATGTGAGATCCTTAATTAGGGTCACAGGGCCACACGTGCCTAAACATAGGTCAAATGAAACTAATTAATTAAAGCAAAAATTCTCAGTGAAGAGGTGGCTGAAAAACTTCACTGTTTTCATATTTTCAAAAATCCCAAAGTGTATGTCTCTCATTTTTTCCCCTCACTTTGTATTACTTGGGTCTGCTTTTATGGCTGGTGCTCTATGCTGCGAGTTCCTCCCCACTTTCTAACTTCTTCTCCCTCTCCATCCCACCCCTATTCCACCCCCATCCCAACATCCTCCCATGACAATCCTAGAGAAGACGCTAAAGAAATACGAAGAAGGAGAGGGAAGGCTGGGGCTTAGCCAAAAGGCATGATGTACAGACTGCTGGTGGAACTGCAGCTCTGCACCCGCAAGGTGACAGGGAGACAGTTGGCATTTTGGCCATAAAGCCAGCTCTGGCATGAGCTCATCCCAAACCCACCCCACTTCTGCCCCCACCCCCAACCCCATCCCAGGACAAGGATACTGTGGGCCTGGGCTGTAGGGAGAGCCAGCCCATCCCCAGCTAGGGAAGGATTTACTTATATGAAAGGAGACAGTCCCCAAACAAAGCCAAAGGTTGCGTGATAATTTTCCAGAAAGCCGTACTGTTTCTAAGACTCCATCTGCTTTGTATTTCCCTGTTGGACTGAACTGCTGTATTCCCGAAGCCCTAAAAAGGAAAGGAAGGTGCATGAGTCCTGCGCATAGAAAGAAGATGTGCCCTCCAGCCAGGGTGAAACCACATGTGTCATTAAAGGAGGACAAATAAGAAAGTGGCTCCAGAGCAAAAAATGGAGCCAAGGGTTTCTCATTTTCCCCACTTTGAACTTACCGGCTAAGAGAACTCAGCTAGCAGGGGAGAAAAAAAAAAAAAAAAGGAAGGAAAAGACAGCAGAGGGAGAGCTTGGAATAACCAAACCCTAGCCCTGGCAGTAGGAAGTCTGACTCTCACCCACAAATGACAAATTTATTTCCAGACTGAGGAATGCTGCCTTGCCTGTCCTTTTCATTGACTTGAGGAACTCTGGCCTTTGTCCTGAGACTCCCTACCATTATGCCGTCAGTATCTTTGCCGCAGCACCCAGTGGGTGCACAGCCCAATGCAGCAGGGACTAGGAGAAAGGTTTGGGTTTGGGGCCCACTGTGCCATTAGCTGTTATGTAGCCTTGGACCAGACACTGTCCCTCCCCCTCTCTGGGCTTCTGCTTCCTGATATGTAAGACAGGGAGAAAATGAATTCCTGCCTCATCTGTTCTCAAGGCTGCCCTGTAGATACTAAGAGCCAGGATTAGTATTAAATATATGCCAGATATTGTCCACCAAGCACATTTATTATTATCATCTATTTATACTGATAAAATGATTTAAACTGATATTATATTTATTACATAGCATTTCTTTATATTGACTCATTTAGTTCTTATAACCACCCCATTATTATTGTCATCCCCATTTTTCAGATGAGTAAACAGATGCGGCACAGAGAGGTTAACAGTCAATTGCTCAAGGTCACACAGCCAATAAACAACAGTGTCGAGTCTGCCTCTAAGGGTCCCTTCCATTAAGCACTATGCTATGGTGACCAATGTACCCTCCAAAGTGTGGGCCTTGGCCCCAAAAGTTACCTCCTTTACTAATGCTTAGCCACACAGCTGGGACAAAGTGATGCCCATACTCTGACAGGTCAGGCTGAAAGCCAGCGCACCATCCGTGTAGGTTGGTTATATGGGGTAGGACAGAGGCAGCAGGGAAAGACCACACTGGTCATGGGCAATGGAGTCCAAGGCCCAGGCTCCAGCTAATCTCTCTGAGTCTCCTCCCTCTATAGAATGGGGACCAAGAGCAGTATGGTGGAGTCACTCATTACTGGCTCAACCTGAGGGCTATTTTTTGAGGCCTCCAGATCAGAGAAATATAGAGGGAACCTGGCTACTAGGGTCAGAGGTTTTCTCAGAGGGGTTACCCAGGACGCCCCAGGAGGAAGGTAGGTAGACATGACTGCCCTTCCAAGATGAGAACTGGAGCCCAGGGAGGGCATCACAGCCATGTGGAGGGCCTGGGCCCCTCCCCCAATCCAGGGCTGCCCAGCACATCGGGCTGACTCGGGCTCGTCCTAGCACGTGGCATAGGGCTGGGTACTGGAGGTCATGCAGATATGGTCCTTAGGCCCCAAGGACAGGAACACACACAGCCAGCTTGCCTGCCGCTACACCAACAGAGGTTAAGCAGTAGCGACACAGCCCTCGGAACAACTTACAGTGTGACCACAGCTCTCTTTCGGCCCCCAGCCCTCCACACAATGTCTGCGATGGCCAGGGTGAGGCAACGGGTCCTGTGGGCATCTGAAGGCTGCAGCCCCCTGAGGACAAGAAAGGAAATGGTTTAGGCTCATGGGGACACAAGGCTGAGACCCTCCAGCCCTGTGAAGGGGCCACTTGCAGCCCAGAGACTCCAAGGCAGAGCCTGGGGAGAAGGGGCTCTGCAGCTGAGGGTTGAGGGAGGAGCCTGCAGGGAGGGCCCCAGGCAGGGCTGGAGGAGGAGGAGGAAGCTAAGGAAAGTGCCCACCGGAGCAAAGGGGCTCCAGAGGCTTGGTGGGGCTCAGCAGTATATGTAAGAAAGGACCCTGAGTTCAGATAGGGCCCAAAAGGCCCAAGCCAGGCATTCGAGGAAGGTTGCCATCTCAGGCAATTGCAGGGCACTGCCCTGCCATGGCTGTGGCCATGCTCATATCTGAGCCCCTGGAGACACCAGCTTGTACAGGCTCTTCACTCCCAGGTGCTGACGGGACAACAGCCAGACTTGCTGGATATTTAGATCCAGGGCGTGGGGAGGAGGGATAGGAAGGATTCAATGACAACCTCCGTGTTTTTTGAGGGCACACAGTGGAGCCACCAACTGACATAAGGAGTATGTGGCTAAGGGAGGTGGCTAGTAAGGGCAGATGATGAGCTACACTTCAGACTTACTGAGCTCGAGGTGCATGCAGACCCCCAGGTAAAGCTGTTGGACATGTCGAAAGCCCAGCACAGAAGTTGGGGCTGGGTACGGATTTCCCAGAGGGAGGAAGAAGAAGGGCAGAGGTAGTGCCAAGGATGGAACCCTGTGGAACTCTGAGGTGTCTGGAGAAGCAGGGGAGGGGAGAGTCAAAGAGGCAGGGGCAGAGTGAGGACGGACTGCCATGATGCAGTCTTGGGACCAAAGGGTTTAAGGTGGTCACGCAGTGAGCAGTATCGAAAATGGCAGGCAGCTCTCTTGCTATAAAAATGGTGACCGAGAGGTGCCTGGTGCATGAAGTGAACAAGAGGGAAGAAAGGAAATAGTCAGATACAGACATTTCTTTCCATTTCACATTTCCTGGCCTCCTTAGGGCTATATTTCTTGCCTGCCCCTAGATCCTGTGAATTTTTTAAAAAGTCATACAAAAGCTAATTTTTGTATGACTTTTCCTAATAAAAAAGTCTTGATGAAAACCCTGTGGGGCTCAAAGAAATACAGAGGAGGGGGTTCCATGTTTTCCATCTTTCAATCACCGAATAAAACCCAAACCCCATGCCGAGCTATGTCCCTCCTCTCCAGGGCAGAAGAAGGGAAACCAGGAGACCAGGGCACAGCCCACTGTGCCGGGCAACATGTGGTGACTGCCCATGGCCTGGGACACAGAGCCAGCAATCTATGCCCAGGCTGTTGTGGTCCAATGACTTTAAGATGAGAGGCAATAAACATTGCAGTCCCTCAGTTTCACCATCTGTAAACTGGCAATGACAATTGCACCTCCCTCCTGGCTTTAAATAAGATGATGTTTGTAAGGTCCATGGCCCAGTGCCTGGCACATGGTGAAATGTTTGATGGTACCAATCACTATTGTCTTTATGAAAACATCAAGTCCTCACTTGGGCCATGACAATGGGAAAATGAGTTCCCAACATCTGATAAGAAAGTGACACTAAGCCCCTGACACTGGAAATTCTTCAAATGCAATGAGACAAGCAACACGCACTCAAGCACTTAAGAAAATAAAACAGTAGACTGCCTGATATTTCTTTAGCCTCAGGAAGCCCATCATGTTCCTCGGAGGAAATAGTTAACCATGCTATCACCAAACCGGACGCCCGAGCTGTTGGGAACACTAGCCCAGGTCACCATTCACTATGAAAACAACGGTGAGAAAACATTGCTCTAGGTTTCAAGAGAGGCCACGTCAAAGACTGGGGGCATCTGGAAAGCAGACCTTGTCAGATAAAGGAGAAAAGACTGGACGCTTATCTCTTTGGATTCAGAACCCACAAATGTGGACTCCATCATCCCACACGGCTCCTGTTTCATGCCCTGCCCTCATCCAAATGAGGGCCATGTCCATACATCCTGAGTACCTTCCACCCATCCTCCCCCGCCATTGTCCTGGGTCAGGATGTCCTGCCCTCAGCTGAGCTGCTACAGCCAGTGTCCCACCACCATTTCTGCTCCATCTCACCCTCTCTCCAATCTCCACTGCATATACTCACAGGGTAGCGTGGAGCAGGGGTTTGGGAGGGTTTTCCTACACCACAAGTATGAGCAGTTAAAACCCTTAACATAGGTAGGAGCTGTGCAAAATTATGCCTGGGTTGTATTCTGGGCCTAGAACACTTATGCTGGAAAAGCTCTGTATTTGGAACTAAGGAGACAACTTTAAAACACTGTGTTCCACACTAACTTACTGAAGCAGATAATCCTCAGTTGGAAGCTTCTCAGTATAGTAACAAATAAGATTTTAAAAACCAACATATATAGTTAGTAAAAATTGGAAAAAATAAACATGGAGGAAGGAAGGAGAGCTTGGGGAAGTAGAACCAACTGTCTTGGCACTTGGTTTTAGGAACTAATATCCCCTTTCCTTAGATCCTGTCTTTTCAGCACTGTGCAACACAATCAAGACATCTTGCTCCTAGGCCTGACCTGGCTCCCCCATCTCACAGGATCTGCTTACAGCCCCTCTAAACCTCCATGTCCTCTATGCATAAGTCCTCATTCTTTCGATTGGCTTCTGGTTAGTAACTCTGCCAGTCTCTCCGTCCTTCCCTGACCCTTCTTCATCTTTCTCTTTTGAGACACTGCTTTCCAGAAAGCACAGTAGAGATAGGAAAGTACAATGGCCAGACAACGAAGAGGCCTGGGCTGCATTCCTGGCTCACAGGCTTTGGGGAAGCCCCTGCCTTCCCTGGCCTTCACTTCTCTACACACCTACAAATGTGGGCACTGGATCAGATGCCCTCTAAGCATCATTCTGGCCTTGGCATTCTGTCATTTAACTTGCCCCAGTGTAGACAGGGCTGTGTGGTTGCTCAAGAGCCCCAAGAAGACAGCAGAGGAAAGCACAATTGTGCCTGAGTCACCCAGACTCAACCTTCTCCAGAGGGCTCAGTGTCTCCCTTCACAAGTAGAACCCTGATGACAGTCAGGTCCTGCACTGCCTGATCAGTCAGACACATGTTTGTCAAACTCCTCCCAGGAGGCTGGCACCCAGCCAGGCTCTTAAACCAGAGAAGTTTCTTTAAGAGTCAAATTCCAGGCCACATGTAGTGGCTCACGCCTGTAATCCCAGAACCTTGAGAGAATCTCTTAAGGCCAGGAGTTAAAGATCAGCCTGGGCAACATGGTGAGGCCCTGTTTCTACAAAAAATTAAAAAAAAAGTTAGGCAGGCATGGTAGCATGCACCTGTAATCCCAGCTACTTGGGAGGCTGAGGCAGGAGAATCAGCTAAGCCCAGGAATTTGAGGCTACAGTGAGCTATGATCCTAACACTATACTCTAGCCCAGCAATAGAGTGAGACTCTGTCTCCAAAAAAAAAAAAAGAGTCAAATTCTTCATAGGAGAAGTTCAGGATAAAGACATTTATCTAGGAATGGGGAAAACAAATTATCTTGGGGAGTAATACATCCTGTTTTTGCATAAATTATCCAAATGTTTCAGATTAAAGAAGTGTTTCTACCCTAATTATCTCAAAATAGCCTCACCTGTCCACTCTGATGTGCCCATATGAACTGAGTCTACAGACAATTCAGGGAGGAGCTCACAATGAGCAGAGGTGGGTTATTCTACCCCTTCTGCTCCTTCTCAGGGTTGAAAGCTGTGGGAGGGGGTGGGAAGAAGGCTGGTCTGGGGCCACCGGACCTGGATGCCAAGCCTGGTTCTGCTACTCCTGTTCACAGGGGCTCTGGGCAAGGGCCCCTCCTCCTCTGGCCTCAAATTGCCCAATTCCAGAAGGAAAGTGAAAATTTGATGAGGACTTCCTAGACCCCTGACTCTCAGATCTGCACCAGCCTCTGGGGACCCCTCCTGGTCCATGGCTCTCTCCAGTCCTTGAGGATGAATAAGAACTCATCATCTCTTTCCTTCTCAAGTGGAAAAACACTGAGTCCTGCCACCTAGCTCTGTCCTTCCCGACTGAGGAGAGACCGGCTGCTGGCCTGATGGAATGAGTCTTAATGAAGCCAGACAGTCCTGCAGAAAAAACACCGTTGCTGCCAAGAAGCCTTTATTTCAGCATGACTTCCCTGGAGGATGCGAGCCCATCCTCCATTCTGCTTTCACAGAATTATTTCCCTGTCGGTTGTGGGGAAAAGAGTTGGAGGAGGGGGCCTCCAGACCCAGCATGGGGGGAAGGAGAAAAGTACAGGGCTCAGGGCACACGGGTCCTGAGCTTTCCGGGAGCCTAGAGCTCGCCGGCTGCAGATGCATGGCATGTGGGTCATCATGGTATTCCTGAAGAGAACAGAGGCGCTCGCCTTGGTTTTTACAAAGCTGGATCATTTATGGAATCTTGGAATTTCAGAGTCAAAAGGGAATGCTAAAGTCTCACACCCAACCAAGCACAGACAGCCAGTATAAGAACATCAATAACCCAATCAAATGATATAAAAAATGTATAACTAAGTCAATGAAACCAGATGAGCTGGGGACTGAGGGTAGTACCTGAAATGACCAAGTTTTTCGCCTAGACAACATGAGGCAGAGGCTCCCCAAGTGTTTGCTATGTTACTCTCCATACTCTTCTGCACTATTTTTTTCTAAAGTAGGGCAAAAGGAAAGTGCTACTGAGAAGCCCTTCATGAACAGAGCCACCCCTTGGTCACTAAGAGTCTGAATGGGAGTCCAGTGATGGGGTGTCTAAAACTCATGGCCCTCAGCCTCCCTTGCAGTGGCTCCTCTGGCTTCCCAGGACCTCCATTGCTCCCTGTCTCTTGAAGGGCACAGCAGTATTTATTGGTGTGACAGACAGACATCATGTGCCAGTCTTAACCCTGCCAGGGATGCCAGGTATGACTCTGAGCAAGCATCTTCCCCTCTCTGGGCCTCAGTTTCCCCATCTGTACCATGGCAGGCTGAGTTTGATGGTACTACTTTCTTGCATAGCCCTTGAAGATATTTACAAAGGACTTCATTCTTTCTTACTGAGTCCAATTTAGGCAGGCCAGAGATTACTATTCCTAATCCAAAGATGAAGAAAGTGAGGTCCTGCTCCCCTAGGACTGTATTCCACATCCTGACCCGGTCCAGTGCTCTCTTCAACACCCCACCCCCCAACCTGGGTATCAACACCTATAGGCTAGACCTCACCCACTTGGCAAGGAGGAACTTCTTTGGCCTCTGACTTGTAGGGCCTCAGCAAAGCAGCAACACACACTCTACCTCCCTTCTCTTCTTCTGGCCTCAAGCACGGGCCCCTCACTCCCCTGTCTTTGCTTGACCCAAGTCCTAACCTGTCCCTGGGAGGGTTCTCCCTCCCTACTCCCTATCTACCCCTGAGGCAGGTCCAGGAAGTGGGAGAAGGAAACTCAGGATGGGAAGGATGGGGAGGACATCTGGTCCCTGTTGCCCATGGTACACTATCACCAGGAGAAGGGGAGTCCCAGCTGGGGTCAGGGGAGAGGGTCTCTGGGACCTCCTCAGCTTGTCACGATGAGATATCTCTTCCTAAGTCCCCTCAGATTTTTTCAGAGAGTCCCGGTGACCAAGCCCAGCTCTCCACTCTTCCCTCTCAGCTGGGTATGAATAATGGGCTCCTCAGGCCAGACATGAGGTCTGCTACGTTCCACCTGCATGGCACAGCACCCTTATGCTGGAGGCAGCAGGGGGTGGAAGTGCAAGAGGGGGCAATTACAAGCAGTACTCAGAGTTGCAGGACTCCAAAATAAGGGGAGGTCACTCTCCTACACCATGAATCCTTCTAGGCTCCTTCAAGGCAGTCCTTACCAGCAGGCTGAGCTCTCCCGGCCATGGCACAGACTTCCTCTGCAGGAAGCCTCCCCTGCAGAATCGGGCTCCTCCCATCAGGTGTACCCTTGCACATAACATAACTCCCAGCAGGCCAGCAGCTGCTGCTTCTCTCTTCCTCCTCCTCCTCCCATACCCACAGCCCAGCCCCACCATCCTTGGCCTGCAGACAAACACAGACCTGGCCTCGGAGAGACTTCTACCCAGCTAGCCCAACTCCTCTCTCAGGGTCCTAGCAGACAGGGCACCACTGAGGGCCAAGGCTGCATTTCCTCCTGCCCCCATTCCCCTAGCAGAGCCCTGGCAAAAGTAATAGGTGCTTAAATAGGTACCTGTCAATATAAATGAGGGCCTCAGTCAGCGCTTGGCAGGAGCAGGCCTGGCTGACAACGGGAGGTGGAGAACCTCACTCCCCATAGCTTGGCACAGTTTTCTTTCTACCCAGAGCCCGCCTTGGGATCTCAATCTGGATGGCTTTCTGCCTTCCAAGCCCTGGCTCTCCTCTCTGTCATGGAGAACAGAACTCTGCCCCCAAGGGTGTGGCCTGAGGGATACAAAAGCTCTCACATCCCCTTAGTGGGGTGGGGTGGGTGACAAGGAATCAAGCCTGCCTTGTGGCCTGAGTAGAATCAGCCCTTCCTGGAAGCAACTGAAAACCTCCTCCTGACTATTGGGAAATCATCCACAACTTCCCCCAGAAGACCAAAATTGGAGTTGAAAAGCAACTCTGAAGGAGCACTAGACTGAAATGGGTTATGAGACACCTCATCTCCCACAAGGGCCAAGGCCAAGACTTGACTCGAGAAGCTGGCAGTGCCTAAGGCCCCTCTGGCAGCCTGGCCCTGACCCATCTACCACCCCAGGTCTCACCCTGCCCCTCCAAACGCTGCCCTGGCCACCCCAGGCAACCCTTCACTCTCTCCCTGCCCTCAGGCCTTTGCACATCTTGTTCTCTTTACTGGAATCCCATTCCACCTCCCCTCCCTGTTTGTCTGGATAACTCATTCATTTGTCCATGCGTTCATTCTACAAAAATTCTAAGGGCCTCTTCTGCAGACTAGGCACTGGGCTGGATGCCAGAGACCCGGCTACAAACTAGGCAGCCCAAGCAGGCCCCATTCTCATGGGGCTTGTGCTCTGGGGGCAGGGGGAAGACATGGACAGGTAACGACACCAATGAACAAGAGCACCACCAATTGGGAGTGGAGTTATTGGAGGAAGGGCCTGGGTTTATCTGAACTGGGGAGGTCAGTGAAAGGCCTCCATAAAGACATGGCCTCTGAGCACTGGGAGGAGCCAGCAGGCAGAGTGCCTGAGCACACAGGCCTGTGGGCCCAGGAAGGAGTTTGAGGATATTTGCTAGGAAGTGGGGAACAGGAATGTGCAAGAATATGCATGAAGGGGACCAGGGGTTCTGATCATTCTTCAGATCTCAGTAAGATTTAAATGTCACCCCTCCAGAAAGCCTGCCCTGACCCTGTGGTGTGCCAGTGAACTCTTAGCATCCTGTAAGTCCTTTATAACTGCCTGTCCATATGTTCTCCTGTTCAACCGTTGGTACCATGAGGGCAAGGCTGTATCCATCTTGTTCAACCCCATATCCCACTAAGAACCTGGGAAGTATGCTCTGCGTGCTCTTGTTCAGTGCAAGGGAGGAACATAAGCAGGTGGTCCATATGGGCTCAGAATCCCTGCCCCCTCTGAGGACAGCCAGCAAGTTGTACCCAGTCAGGAGTGTTCCTGAGCACAGAGGACTGTGTTGACCCCACTAGGGAGAGCCGATGGCAGGGTCTCTGCCACAATGTTAAACTCAAGCCTCAAAGCACATTCCTGAGCAGAACTTCCAGAGCAGGCAGTGGGGAACGACCCTGCTCAGACGACAGGACTAGGGGTAGACCCAGGTGGGAAGAGGAGTGAGGCAAAGAAAAGGATAAGGACAAGGTGAGTGAGATCTTCCTGTGGAAATGTTATGTTGCTGTGTTTACGGTTAGCACCTTGTGGTTTGAGAAGAAATAACTTGATTACTATTGGGTAAAACCATTAGAAAAATTGTAAGATACCAAGCAGGAAAAGCTACCTTCACTAGGACCTTGTCTAAAGCAAAATCATCTATGCTGGTGAATGTGCTTCATTTGTGTACTGAGCCTGGCTAGACGTTCTCCTAGTGAACACTGTCTCTCCCTGGAGTATGAACATAAACACGTGGGGAAGGCTCCTTGTTGTCTTAGTAACACCTAGGCTTTTTAAAAAAAGGTTCTGAAATGCTTATGACAAAGAATAAATGCCTTTCAATATAGTTCAGGAACTGGCAAAATTAAGCTATGGTTTTAAAATCCATTTAATTATTAATACAACTTTAGCAAGAAGAATGGGGTACCTACTAGGCAGGAGCAGGAGGATTCTTCTGGAGTACTGAAAAATTTTCTTTCTTGATCTAGGTAATAAGTTTATGGCTGTGATGAACATAAGTTCATGGTGGTTTTGTGATCATTCATTAAGTGGAACACGTGAGTTGTGCACTGTTCTGTACGTATGTTACATTTCAACTAAAAGCGTAAAACAAAAAAAGACCAACTGCCTGAAGTTCTGGACTTCCAAGGGCGACTGGCACAAGCTGGTAACTGGGCACTTGGGCAGGGAAGGGAAGCAGGCTGCCTCCTCAGGGAGGCCTTGCTGGCCTGCAGCCCCGGCCAGCACCTTGCCAAGCCTTCATCATGGCACAAACAATGGTGTAGGATTATGGTTCTCTATCTGTCTCTCAACCTCACAGAGCATTTCTGGAGAAAACACGCATCTTATTTTCCCCTGTGTCACTTGTGCCTGCACAAAGAGGTTCCAGGAATGTGTACTGAATGAATGAGAATGAGAACGAGAACAAGGCACCCATGTGCAAACACTGTGTGAAAATGAATGGCTGCAGGGAGTGGAAGCAGTGTACTGTGAGGCTGCCTGGAATGTTAGTCACAGCTGTTGGCAGAGAGGAGACAGTGTGGGGAGTGGGTAGAGGCCTGGACTTAGTCAAAGGGTCAGCAGGTTGATGTAGGGGTGGAAGGGATTCGGGCAGCTTGCCTTCTGATAGAGTGGACGTGGTTTCAATACCATTCCAGCAGCCCCTTACCACATGGAGCACCAATGACCAGCCCTCCCTGCTTTTAGAAACAAGTGTACACAAGTCCATTTAACACTGGTCAGCACAGGCCCTGACCAGCTGCCATCACCCTTTCCTTTCTTGACCTGCAGAAGACAGGGAATATCAGGGAACACACACACTTCCTTGCTTGTTTTTTCTGGACGCTATAGAGAAGCCCTGGGAAAAGAAGATATTGCCAGAAGGAGTACTGACTTACCGAGCACAGTTGGCTCTGCTATCTCCTTCGAACAGGAGCTTTTGTAGGACACAGCCTTGGACAGCTGCCAGGACCCCACAGGGACCACCCTGCAAAGAATGGTATGTGTTACTGCCAGTGAAAACTGGCCCAGGAATCCCTGCCTACAAGTTACAGATCACGAGTCCCCTGTTGTGTGGCATGGCCTTCATGTTGTCTTTGACATAGCAATTGCTTCCATAATGTGCTGACCCCGAGTCACAGGGAGGGGGTGACAAGGTCCCAGTGCCTACACTAAATAAAGGGGCCGATCTGCAATGTGTGTTGGGAAGAAAGTGACCATTCAGGACCAGTCAGGTGTGAACCTCAGGACATCACCATAGGTTTCCCTGCATCTAGGAAAATGATTCTATGTCACAGGCTGAGGGTATTAATTATCTACTCAGCCTTTAAGTCCCTTCCCAGAGACCTCCTTCTCCAGGAAACTTTCCCTGCCCATCTCAGCTACCAGTTAGCCTTTCAGCAGCCTACACTTATATGAGCTCTCTTATGCTCAGCTTGTGGCCTGCCTCATCACCCCATTTGGCATGTCTCTCTCCCTCCCATCCTGCAGTGCGAAGACTCCCTGAGGAGCCCACCCCTGCAGGCATCATAGGGCCTAGCACAGCCCCTGGCCCCCAGGACACATCAGCAAAGGCCAGTGGGACAAAATAGCACAAACAGTGCCCATCCAGGTTCAAGGAATGTCAGAGAAGGAGGTGGGGTGCAAGACAATGAGCTGAGCTTGGCTACACGAGGAAAGGTCAGAAACTGGTGGTCTTAGGGCTCTTCCTCAGGTATCTTGGGGTAGGAAGGCTCCTGGGACTTGAGAAATGGAACCTGGCTGAGCTGTCCTATTAATTTGCTGATTCTTTGATCCTGTATTTAACATATCTTCTGGCCCTTAATGAGTATAACTTGGGAAATGTGTGCAAGCCACATTCAAAGCCTGCCACCAGCAACCTACATTTGCCCAGCTTCTATTACATCCTCCTCTTGAAGTACCTGCTCCACATACTTGGTCCTTTTGCTTTTTCCTGTAGCCCCTAGACTTTCATATAGCCTCTCCTTTATTCGTGCTGCCAACTATCTGGAGTGCCCTTTCTCTAGCTCCACCTAAAAAATCCTGTGCATTTCTTGATCCTCAGCCCAAGAAGGCCTCACCGATGGCCCCAACCAGACTCAGGGCCTCCTCCTGCCCCCTCTTTCTAAACATCCCAGCATTGTGCACCACTCACAGAAAGTGTTCCTTAAATCCATGTGCAATATGTACATCTCCAAAGCAGAGGGGTCTTGTTCCCCAGCTCTCACTCCATAAGCCATACAAGTGTGGCTGTGCCCAGTGACAACTCAGCATATATGGGGTTGGCTGGCCTGGGATAGCCCAGCTAATGCCCGAAGGATTGACCAAACTGGGAGGCACCCTCACCACCACATGAGATGCCTGGCAGAAAGGGCCCTGGGAAACTTAAGAGCAACCTGCCTTCTTCTGCACAATGCCGTACTTTAACGAGGCTGTGTTATTAAAGGAAAAACTCTGAAGTTTCCATTCTTCGTTGAAACAGCAAAAGTTGGAACCAAACAGAAGGGTCTTTATTTCCTATGAAAAGAAGAGAGAATTTTATTGGTTGTTTTAAAAGCAAACAACAATGCTTAGTGTGAATATTCCCACAGGAGTTGGTCTTGAATTCTAGCAGCGCCCTCCATTTTCTAACAGCGTTATCTCTTTTCTTTTTATTTTGCAAGCCCATTCTTCTCATATTTGAGGAAACAGAAACTCAACCCTGAGGGTATTACCTATGTAATATCTTTAAACCAAACCAGCCGGTGCTAACATGAGCCAAAAATCTTTGTAAGCTCCTTATAGAAACCTTGAATCACAAACTTTTAGTTTTGCAAGGGAACTTGGAGATCCTCTGATCCTCCACAGGGAAGACTAGAGGTTTTCTAACCTGACCTCACATTAGAATTGCCTAGGAAGCCCTTTAAAATCATCCTGATGCTCAGGCAACATGCCTGCCCAATTAAATCTGAATTGCAGGGGGTGAGAGTCCAATATCAATAGTTATATACCTCCCCCAGGTGATTCCACTGTGTAGCCAGGGTTGAGAACCATTGCTCTAGTACAGGGTTAGCAACCTATGATTCACAGGCCAAATCAACTCCTCCCACTTGTTTTGTAAATAAAGTTTTATTGGCACACAGCAATGCCCACTTGTTTACATATCGTCTATGGCTGCTTTTAAAGCACAAGGGCAGAGATGAATCAGGGCAACAAAGATCGTGTGGTCAGCAAAGCCAAAAATATATTATCTAGCCCTTCACAGAAAAAGCATGCTGACTCCTGCTCTAGTACAACCCTTTGTCACATGTAAGAATCCCCTTTATTGTGCCCCATAAACTCTGCTTGAGCACCCCAACCACCCAAGAAGGGGTTCCCACTGCCTGCCAAGGCAGCTTCTCCATTTTTTTACAGCTTTGCCTTCCCCAGATTTCTAGCTATATAACAAACTCACTGTTCATCTCCCATTAACTTAAGCACCATCCACCAGAGCCCCAGAAATGGTCAATCTCTTCTCTACTGACAGGCCCTCACAAGCCCTCAATGGGAAGGCAGAGCCTCTCCTGCCAGCTCCTCCTGGTGGGCCTGCCCTCTCTGTCTGCCATGGTTTTACATCTGAGGGGATCTCTGAAGCCTCAAGTGAGCCCCTAGACCAAGAGGCAGATTCTGTAACCACCTCCTTGCACCCCTTCTCTGGGTCAGACCTTTCCTACAGACTCAGATTGTTTTCCACTAGAATTAGTTCTTTTTTTTCTTTTCATTAAGTGTAAGGGAAATCTCTGTGACAAAAGCATTTGTTCATGTGCCATCAAATGTGGGCTGGTGGCACACGAGAGAGGATGCATACATTCATCTGTCAAGGCCAAGTTCCCCTTCTTGTGCCAACTATAATCATCCATGTGTTTGAACTGAGTTTCCTGAGAGCCTAGAAACTGTAGACTTGGGTTTTCTGGCTGAACCCCATCTCTATTCTCTTATCTACAGAATGACAGCTCCCAGACAGGCACAGTATGGTCAATAGAGCCTGGAAACCTAGATGAACTCCAATTGCCATCAAGGCCAAGGCCCCAGGGCTCTCATTTTCCCTCTGTGAGCCTCACTTTTTCCAGTTGCTTTTGGAGATGCTACTGCTGGGTGGTCTTGAGGAGCCTCTAAGGGCCCTTCCCCAAATGGGAGTGCTCTGGCCATCATGGCCCTGTGGCTATAGAAGGCTAAAGCACCTACTACCAGGTTTGGGGCCACTTAAACGTGTCTGACCCTCTGTGGCTTCACAAGAGGGAGGAGGAAAGGGAAGGGGAGACAAGGGAAAAGGAGAAAAGGGAGGAAGAAGGGAGGGAAAGGACAAAACCTCTAGAAAAATCTTTTACTTTTTGATCAGTGTGCAGAGTAAATATACAAAAGGTAGAAGAGGAGGTCAGCTGTGTCCCCAGAAATTTTATTTTATCCTACTGGATCCTGGTTAAGGCCTGGGGAGGACAGCAAGAGTGACATTCCATTTCGCAGGAACCTCTGACCACAGGGAGGGTGAGGCCACCCTGGTCATGCCCATTATGGATGAGGTACGGTGGCTATGAGCCAGTAAAAAAACTGGGTCCTGCAATGTTTGCAAGGGGAGGGTACAGCCTCCTCCCTCACCTTTTGTCTTAGAGAGGGAAAGGGAGCTGCCAGGACTGGAACACAGTTTTCCACACTATTGGCTCAGGTTTTCTTCTGCATCACACCCAAATTTCCATTTCAACAATGACCAAGAGATTATGATGAGATGGATTAGGCCAAGAAGATCAAAATCACATCATCCTTATCAATTTGAATCAAGATGCTTTGAACATGGGAGTCTCTTACACATCTAAGTTGACACCTACCTTTGCTACTAAGAGGTCAATTGGCTTTGACTCTATCTGCAGCTTGAGTATAGATGGGACTGGGCACAGGATGACTTCTTCCTTTATCATCTCGTCCTCCACATCCTCTGAAAGAAAACCATGGACATGTGAGCCCCACATTATGCCTCACAGAGAACAAACTATGAAATGATCAAGCACCATGGATACTGATAATTTTGGAGCAGGCTTAGTGAAAGGAGGGCTCCTCCACCATTCACCCCAGGTCTGCTTTGGGACTCCCAGGCCTTCACCAGAAGGAAAGAAAGCAGAACGAGACAGACCTTACTCCTGTCACAACCCCTCTCTGTTCGTGCCACAAGAATGCTGTTGGGCAGGACTTAGCTACTGGCCCACTAGAAAGTTCCACACATGGACATGCAGTGAAACAAGTGCCTAGGGTCTAAACCATTGAGCTAGGCCCAGGAAAACCTAGTTCAGACACATTCCTCACAAAAAATGTGGGCATGGTCAGCAAGTTCATCCCCCTGAGGACAAACATGAAGAGGACAAACATGACTTAGAAAAGAAAATGTAACCATGCCTAATAAAATAATATTATATCATCACTATTGTAGCTTACATTTATTGGCCACTTGGATTTTATCATGTAACCTCCTTGACAGCCTTATGAAGGGATAATTACCCCATTTACAGATGAGAAAACTAAGGCTTAGAAGAATTAAGTAACTGGCCCCAAGTCAAGCAAACCAAAGTGGCAAAGACAGGGTAAAAACTCAGGCAACTCCTAGACCCTAGGCCATCTGCCTCCCCTGGACCTCCAGAAGAAACACTAGGCCATATTCAAGATGTAGTCATCTCACAGTTGGAGCATGATATGAGATTTGGTCTCCAGTGTTGGAGGTGGGGCCTGGTGGGAGGAGTTTGGGTCATGGTCGGTACATCCCTCACAAATGGCTTGGGGCCCTCACCATGATAATAATGAGCGAGTTCTCGCTTTATTAGTTCACAAGAGAACTGGTTGTTTAAAAGAGCCTGGCACCACTTCCTCCCTCTCTTGCTCCTTCTTTCGCCATGCGACACACCTGTTCCACCTTGGCCTTTCACCCTGATTGGAAGCTCCCTGAAACCCTGACCAAAAGCAGATGCTGGCACGATGTTTCTTGTGCAGCCTACAGAACTGTGAGCCAAATAAACCTCTTTTCTTTATAAATTACCCAGCCTCAGTACTTCCTTTATAGCAATGAAAAATGGACTAACACAGGGCAACTGGACCCAGAGAGGGTCCCACCTCAGTTTTTGGTGGCACCAGCCTGTGACTTCCCAGCTGGATGAGTCCCTCTCGCCACTACCCCCAATGCCACTGCATTCCCCGGAACACTCAGGTGAAGAACCCAAGAAAAAAACAATACCAAGGCAATGGTGCTGGCACATCTGAGCAGAGTGGAATCCAGAAAATAGCTAAGGACTTGGCTCCATGAATTTGGCTCCTAAGAGGAGTCTGCCAGAGTGTGCCTGTTTGAGTGGAATGTAGTATCAAAAGCCAACATTCCCAGGATACATACGTTATATCTTATTCTATAGCTTCCTTTTTTCCCCTGGAGGAGAACCAGCCACAGCACAAGGCAAACTCCTAGAGACTCAATCCACTGAATAAGCAAACAGAATTACCTTTGGCCTTTAAAAAAAAAAAGTATGGAATTTATATAAGAATCTGAATTTAAATGAGAATCCTTCTTAGTTAGGGTCTCTGGAAACGCTACTCTGTGATCATAGCTTCACACAAATAACCTGAAATAAAGACCAGATGTTCACCCAGCAACACGAATAGAGCTTAAAAACATGATGCTGGGTAGAGAAAGTCAGAAACCAAATCAGATATATAACACAATACTATTTACATCAAGTAAAAATACATGCATACAAAACAACACTACACATTTAGCAAGAACATATACAAGAAAAAAATATAGACTAAGCATAACAGAATGGTTGCTTATGGGGACAGAAGGACATGGAAGTGTGGAGGGTAGGGCTAAAGGGAAATAGGGAAGGAAAGGTAAGAGGGAGAGAGGGAGAGGGGAGGCTGATGGGCAGGCCTTGCAAAGATGAATACTGAGAATGTTCTTTGGAGGAACAGAGATATGTGGTTAGTTCCAACCTAGGCACTTGAGGCCTCAAACAAAGGGGCAAGTAACCTGAGTGATTCCACTGGACCCTGAAGGGCTCCTTGCAATGCCTCAGGCCAGAGAGTTTCCTGGAGCACAGAAAGGACACTATTTAAGCCTATGTAGAGGTTTCAGTTTAGTCTGAGGTTGTCAGTGAGGGATCCAGGCCTGAAACATACTCTGCCTGCACCCCATGAAGTAAGCCTGGGAATAGAGGCTGGGGGCCCAGAGGAAGAAGACTCAGGTGGAGCACAGGCCAGTGGGAGCCCCCAGAAGGAGGCAGCTTCCCTTGGCTACTACAGCGAGGAATTGATCCCAGTGCAGGGAGTTGGTTTAGGACCACAAAGCAGGCCTCAGGCCCAGATGTGGTACGACCGTCATGCAAGGGAAAAACAAAATGCTCCAGAATGACATGTTGGCCATGCAAACAAAACTGTTAGCAAATGCCAGTGGTTTCAGAATGCTATTTTTAAGGTCCTGGTATAAATGTCTGGTTGAAAAGAAGCAAAGAGTTTTGCTTCCCATGCCATTTTATGTACCCTTTGGAGGGAAGAAAAAAAAAATACACACACACACACAGAGTATTAATAATTGCATTGCGTTTCAAGAGAGAGTCGAAGATACTGAAGGGAATGAGGTTTATCTATGGATTCTATAGGGAGAATGACCCATAGAGCTCTTTTCTAGGAGCCTGTGCAGTATTTCTCACTGATCACAAGATATCTTCTAGAGGTGCCCAAGATCAGAAATTCAGCATCCCTCCAGGGTTGCTCTCCTCTCCTCCACCCCCCGACCAGTGCCTCAGGCTGAAACCTCAGCCCTCTCCCACCCACCAAGCCACCCCAGCCTCTGCATTATCCTGCCTCCAGAATGTCTCATATCTGTACCCCCAACCCCACCTTTCTCTCTCCACTGTTATAAGAATACGTCATTATTTTTCTATTTGCTTACCAAGTGCTTCATCAAACACCCATGATATACTAGGAACAACGTGAGACAGAGGAGGTCCCGAGATGACTACAGCACTACCCCTGCATTCAAGGAGCTCAATCCCCAGTGGGAAAGACAGAGCTCCCAAACAAATTGTAATATAACGCAATAAGTGATGAAATAGTTCAAGGGTTTTAAGAACAGAAGGGAAGTGGGTCATAATGGGTCAGGGATGATTCCCATAAGATCATTCCCACTTGAGGAGGGCCCTGAAATATCCACAGGATTTCCCAGGTAATGGGGGTCTCATCACCCTTCTCTGGACTATTTTAAGAGCCCCCTTACCAGCTGTCTCCCAACATCCAGGCTCATAACCCTAAAATCCATCCTTCACCCAAGTCTAGATGTAGAGCCCGAATGCATGTCTGGATATCTTCCTCACTAGCACCAAATCTTCCAGGGCTCCTTACTGCCCAATGACTTACAGTCCAGCTCTTTAGCACAGCACTTAAAATCATCCTTGCCCTGGCCCAGCCTTGCCCCAGGCCTCATCTCCTGCTGACCCCAGGACTTTCCTTTGTAGGCCAGTCACTTTCAGCCAATCTCTCTTGAACACTCCAGACTCATGTGGTTCCTTCCACATCTCTATTTGGCAAGACCTTACTCATCCTTCAAAGTCCAGCCTAAATGCCAACTCGCTATGGAAATTTCCAGAACCCACCACAGAACTTGGCTTACACGTCTATCTTTTGAAGCAGTTAAGCACTGCTCGGCACCTGCTTCATGTGATGCTGTGGGAGGACATGTTTCTCCCTTTGTTCCACCCAACCCTGACCTCCAAAAAGGCTAGGCCACCTTTGATTCACCTTAGTCTGCTTTCAATAGAGCCTTGCATATGCCCTAGCAGGTAACTGCTAACAAAAGTGTGCTGAATTGAATCAAAGTAAAATGAATTGGGATGGAAAAGGAAGTGCTGTTCCTCTAACCAAATTCAATTCCTTGTTTCTACACCACCCCCTCCCCAAGACCTCTCTTTCCTCTTCTCTCTTTTATAAGCTCTCTCAGGGACTGGGTTCCAGGGTCCCTTATCCTTCTCCTCCTCCTTTTCTAAATCATTAGCTGAGCCACTAGCAAAGAGGGGGTTGGCCTCCCTCTGGAAAACATGCAAACACATGTGCATACCCCCCCCACACACACAACACTTCAAACAGCTGGCTTCTGAGAATTGCTAAAAGCCTTCCTTCCAGTAGAAGCTTTCTGGGTTCAGACAGCTGGGAACTGCTTTGCTTTGTGACCAAACACAAGCAGTTCATTGGAAAATTTCAAAGTGCGGTGCTACACAGAAAGGCTTCAGATGCCAACGCTTCCTGGCTTCTACGTAGGCCAAATAATCCCCACTAGCCATTCTGGTGATTAAAACTCTGAAGATCCATTACCTCCAAGGAGTTACACAGAGTAACCTCCACTGTCCAGAGACCTGTCCCTCTCTTTCAACTTCATCAAAGCAAACTGTCAGACTGCAAGTACCACATATGGAACTTCTAAAGGGGGGCATGGCTTTCTTCCTTTAGTTTAAAAGCGGGTGCTTCAAAGGGAGAAGAAAAGCATTATGAACAGCTCTTGCCTGCCAAAATGGTCCAACAAGTTAACTGTTGGCTTCCAGAAGAAGAGCAAATGACAAGACTACTTAAGCCTTGTCCTTTCGCATCCAATCCTTGGATTCAACATCTTCAATCTACAGCTGCTTTTGTCAAGCCCTGTGAGCGCATCAGTCTTTGCGGGGTAAAGAATTACAAAAAAATAGAAGGAAAAAAGTGGCTTCAAAACTACAGAGTGAAGGAAATGTTCTCTATCTCAATACTGGAGATTAATTAGTTACACAGATGGACACATATGCAGAAATGCACAGAACTGAACATTTAAGGTCTTCAGACTTGGTGTACTTCAGTGTTTGCATTTTATACTTCAATAATACGTTGATAAACTTCTAAAAAGGATGGACTTTCCCAGGCAGAGCTATACTAATATTCTGACTGAAAACTGTCTTTTGGAGACCTTAATAAGTTCTAGATGGCCTAAAAGAAACTCCAAATGCAGGAAGGTCCTCTCTAGCCCTGCAGTGTGGATCCAGAAAAGACCAGACTTCTTATTTCTTATTTCTCCAGGAAAGACAGACAGGCAGTGGAAGAAGATATCACCAAAAAAGAGAGAAGCCTGCTCTACTCACTGAGGCCAGGTGGGAGGAAAGGAGCTCCCATCTAGCCAGCAAGGAGTCCCCGCCACCACCATCTCCCACATGGAGCCAACGAGGACCCCCTGGGCCCTGATGGGCATAACATAGAGTCACCCACTGCACCTACCAAGCTGTAGGGCACCCAGCTCACCATCTGCCTTGTGAGATGCCAGCAACTGATTTTTCCTGGAAAAAAGAAAATGTCAATGTACCAGAGGAAAATGACAGAGAAATACAAATAGCAGAAAAGACTGGAAGGAGTATTAGGTGGGCATTCAGGAGACAAGTTTCTCTAGCTCTGGCCCTGTCTGTGTGTACCTTTTTCAACCACAGGTTTCAGCGGGGTTGGGACCAAATGGCCCCAATTCTGTGTTTTCATGAGGAGCCACACACACCAGCCAATATAAGATGGTAAATTCTGTAGTTTGACACTGAATGTAAGCCTGTCTCACTGATGTCACTGAGATACTGCTAGGAAATACATACAAAAATAAATCAAGTTCTTGTAATCATTGCACAGAATTTTTTTCAACTCATCTCTGTGTTTTTTTCTGTTTAATTCCTCTCTCCCAGCTGTCTTCTCAAGCCATCAATAGCCATTTATAAGAAAGCTGTGAAATGCACCAAAGTATTTAAAGAAACCTGCTCTGTATGCTTCTGTTACCTGAAAAAATTGGCCTGTGATTCTGATTTGTAAATTCAGGTACGTGCATGCAGGACTTCCTTAAAATGGGCCACCTGCATTTTAGTTCCCTTTAGATTTTTTCTTTCCTCCAGCATGCATTGATCTGAACTAAAGTCATATGGTTTTTAAAAAAGAATACATTAAAAATAAAAATATTACATCACTCTCTGAAAACTCTTTTACTATGTTAAAAAATGACAGCTCTTTTGAACGTGGCATTGAAATATCTTTTCCTCCAACATCCTTGCAGGCTAAGATATGATTGAAGTAACAATTGTAATCTTCCCGTGATGTGCTCTATTGAATTGGTTTCCTCCTCAAGATGTATGAAGGGGCGTGAGTGGAAGACTGCGGAGGACACGCAGTCCCAAGCTGGTGAGCACGTGCTTCTGCGGGACACCAGGTCTCCTCTGCTAGTGCTAGAACACACAGCTCCATCCCCCACTCCCAGGCCGTCCTCCCCTCCTCACATCCTCCCTACTCAGTCAAGCCATTTTCCTCAATTCAAAACCACAAAATCCCTCGGCCCCAACACTACCAGGATTCTACAGACATTCTCTGGGGGCTTGGTGAAGAATGAGCTAGAAAGAGGAATGAAGGCATAGAGGGGTGGTTAGAGCCATATGGAAGGGGCAGTCAATGTCGGAGCTGTACCAGAGCACAACCCCCCATCCCTTTCATCAGAAGCCTCTCCTAGCCTTACTTCTCCCACCCTACCTTCACCCCCTCACCCCTGCTCTGCAACAAAAGGCTGAGGACCTGAGCTCTACTCTGCAACCCCTATTGTCACTGCTACATCTGGAGACTAAGACAAGGCACCTTCCCCTTGCTGTGTCTCAGTGTCCCTATCTAAAAAGCAAGGCTCAAGATATTGGTACTAGATGTCCTCTAAAATCCCCTTGAACAATTCCAAGCAGGGAATAGCAGAAGAAGAAACATCTCTCCAACATCCTGAGTCCCTGAGTCTCTTCTGAACCCACCTCTGCTTTCTGCCTCTCTCTCTCACCTAGATTATCTTTAAGCCTCCTAACTGATTTCCTGACCCCCAGAGTGTGAGCTATCCCTCAGCCCCCACATCTTCACATGGCTATCTTTCTAGAAAGAAAGTCATCTTTCTAGAAAACAAGTCTGACCATGACACTGCTGCTTGGCTAAAATCCTTCAAATCTTCCCCCTCATCACCATCAACAATAATAATCACATTTATAAAATTAACAGCAATAATAACAATAAATTCTTTCTGGCTCCTTTGACTATTTCAGGCACTATGATAAGTGCTCTGCAAGCCTCAAAAGTCACCTGCTGGCCGGGCGCGGGTGGCTCACGCCTACAATCCTAGCACTCAGGGAGGCCAAGGCCGGTGGATCTCTCAAGGTCAGGAGTTCGAAACCAGCCTGACAAAGAGTGAGACCCCATCTCTACTAAAAATAGAAAGAAATTAATTGGCCAACTAAAATATATAGAAAAAATTATCTGGGCATGGTGGCACATGCCTGTAGTCCCAGCTACTCAAGAGGCTTAGGCAAAAGGATTGCTTGAGCCCAGGAGTTTGAGGTTGCTGTAAGCTAGGCTGACACCTCAGCACTCTAGCCTGGGTAACAGAATGAGACTCTGTCTCAAAAAAAAAAAAAAAAAAAAAGTTACCTGCTTCTCAGAACAGCTTTATGAAGCAGTTATTTCACTGAGTCTCAAAGAGGTTTAGTAATTTTCCCAAGGTTACACAGCATAGGAATTTAAACACAGGCAAAGACTCCAAAGACAATGACAATAACTACCACATATACTATTTCCTTATAAAAATAAAATCCAGGCCCATTAGAGTATCCTGCTAGGCTCCCCATGACCTGGCCACTTACTGCCCAGCCTCATCTCATCCTGGGCATCAGACTCCACCAGCATTTCCTCCATACTGAATGTCTCAGCCATGCCTCTATACCTTTTTATAAGCTGCTCACTCCATCTGGAATACCCTCTGGCAAACTCATACTAATCCGATAAAGCCCAATCAGAAGGTTACCTTCTTCTCAACTCCAAAGAATGCATTCATTCATTTCTTTATGCACTCACTCACTCACCCAGCACACATGTGGGGCTATCTGGCAAACCTATCTCCTTGCCCAGAAGAGACCAGATATAAATTACAATATGACATGGTATGGCAGGCTGAATAATGGCCCCCAAAGATATCCACATCCTAAGTCCTGGAACCTGTAATGTTACTTTATATGGCAAAAGGGATTTTTCAAATGGGATTAAGTGAAGGACCTTTAGATGGGGAAATTATCCTGGATTATTCAAATAGGATCAATGTAATCACACAGGCCCTCGTAAGAGAGAGGCAGAAGGAAATATGACACAGAAGAGAAGGCAATGTGATAACAGAGGCAGAGACTGGAGTGACACACTTTGCAGATGGAGGAAGGTGCCACAAGACAAGGAATACTGGTGGGGACCAGAAGGTAAAAAAGGTAAGGAAATATATTCTTTCCTGGATCCTCCAAAAAGAACTAGCCCTGCCAACACTGTGACTTTAGCCCAGTGTAATTGATTTTGGACTTCAGCCCCCCAGAACCGCAAGGTAATAAATTCATGTTGTTTTAAGCCACTAAAACAACATGTAGTAATCTGTTATAGCAGCAATGATAAACTAATACTATTGTAAGAGTGATAACCAAGGAAAAAGAAAGAACTGCAAGATTTTCTTGGTCTCCTCTGTATCCTGGTGTCCAGCATCTAGCCAGTGTTCCATAATTGGGTGCTGAATGCCAGATGACTCTCACAGAAGCTAGGTGACTTTCACAAGGTCACACAACTCAAAAATACCTGAGCCAGGACTCAAACCCAGGCCACTGGCTTCAAATGTTATACTCTGCTCTTTCTTCTATCTCATGCATCCTTTTCCTGCTCAGAAACCTCCATGGCTTCCTGCAAACCATGGCACAAAGTCTAAACCTCCCAAATTGTACCCTTGGCTCCTGAAGGCAGGCAGGTGGCCACGAGCCATGGTGAGAGGGTGGGGATGATTTTCCCCACTGGATAGGGTACAGCTGAGCCTCTTTCCCTAGTCATGAGACAGCCACACAGAAGGCCATCCATCAGCTGCAAGAGCCCAGCTCAGAAGCTTTGTGCCTGTTTCTCATAGATCTCATCACCACAGGAGACTTCAAATATGCTACACATAGAGAATGTGCTTATTGTTCCTTTCATGTGTCCCTTTGTGGCATAAGCATTAAAAAGTTTAAAAGGTCAGTTTAAAAGCATGTTCTTGCCTTTGAGTGAAAACTATTATGAACAACAATGACAAAAAGATAAATCAAGAGATTCAAAACACTTTTTCAAAGTGTGATTGTGCAGATAACACAGAGACATGTGTCAAAGTGTGCAACTAATAAATCCGTGGGGGCCGTGGGGCAGACCCCCAGCTTGCCTGCTCAGTCCAAGGCCTCCACCTCCCACTGCAGCTCCTCTGGTGCCCCACAGAGAGAGGTAAAAGCCAGGGCACTGCTGGTATTCAGGGCTCCAAGGGACCAGGACTCAATCCCTGAATAACTTGTCTTCATGGAAAAAGCCACTCAAAGACCTGGGTTCTTGTCTCTGCTCTCCCTTCCTCTATGTGATCTTGAGCAATTCACTTACCCTCTGTGGCATCAGGTCCCTCATCTGTACCATGGAAGGAGTCTTAGAGTCTCTGCTCTCTGTGGGACATGACTAGGTACAGGGGCTCTGAGAGGACCAAAGTGCCCTCTCATGTATTCTTAAAGATACTTATTACTTAGGCATCCCAACACTCTTAGAACTAGTTCACTAGCTCTCACATCAAAACAGAGATGCTCATTCTTTATGTTTGGTACTGGATACTTGGCTAAATTAGTTATGAGTTTCCTCATGAGAATAAAGATACTAATCACTTACTGCTATATTTTGGGTATTTGTCCTATTAAAATTTAATTCCCAATGTGGCAGTATTGAGAGGTGGGGCTTTAAGAGGTGATTGGGTCAGATGGGCCCTGCTCTCATGAATGGATCAGTCTATTCATGGATTAATGGGTTAATGGATTAATAGGTTGTTACAGGAGTGGAACTGGTGGCTTTATAACAAAAGGAAGAGAGACCTGAACTAGCACACTCAACCCTCTCACCACATGATGCCCTACACCACCTCCAGACTCAAAAAGGCCCTCAACAGAAGTGCCCCCACAACTCTGGACTCTCCAGCTCTAGAACTGTAGGAAATAAATTTTGTTTCTTTATAAATTACCCAGTTTCGGGTAAATTCCGTTATAAGCAACAGAAAATAGACAAAGAGATTTTACTATATATTTGGTGAAACATCAGAACTCAGTGTCAATGGAATTCAAATTGACTACACTCATATGGCACAAGAATCTAGAATATTAAAATTTATATAAATTTTTCCCATGGCAATGACACTCCAGCACACCTAGCCAAAGCAATATAAAATTATGTGGTAGAACACTTCTATGAACCAGTTTACACAAGA